TTGGAATTATGAGGAAATGCCGAGTTTATCCAGAGATCTGGTGGAACATCGGTTGCCCATCAAAGATGGCTATAAGCCATATAAACAGCCACCACACCGAATGTCCTAAGAGGTGGTAAATAAAGTCAAGGTAAAAATTGAACGATTGTTGGATGCCGGTTTCATTCGAACCACAAGGTCTATTAAATGGCTATCGAATGTAGTTCATGTTATTAAGAAAAATGGCAAGTTACAAATATGTGTTGATTTCCGAAACATAAACTCGGCCACCCTAAAAGATGAGTATCCTATGCCAATAGCATATTAATTGATTGATACGGCTGCCAAGCATGAAGTAATGTCTTTTATGGCTAGACACTCAGGATATAATCAAATTTATATAACTAAGGATGATATCCCAAACACAGCTTTCAAATGTCCAGGATTGATTGGAACTTTTGAATGGGTAGTAATGCCTTTTGGTTTGAAGAATGCTGGTGCAACATATCAGCGGGCAATGAATTCTATTTTTCATGATATGCTCGGTAAGTTTATGGAAGTATATATTGATGATGTAGTTGTGAAATCGGCAACAAAAAAGGAACACTTAGTTCATCTCAAAACATCTTTTGAGAGAATGAGGGCTCATAAGCTAAAAATGAATCCGATAATGTGCGCCTTTGGAGTATCGACAGAAAACTTTTTGGGTTTCTTGGTTCACTAAAGGGGCATAGAGATCGATAGGAATAAAGCTAAGGTAATTATTGATGCCAGCGCGCTGAGAAGCAAGAAACAATTGTAGAGGTTATATGGTCAAGTGAACTATCTCAGGCGATTTATTACCAATACTGCTGGTAAGTTACATGTGTTTTCCCCTTTACTTAGGTTGAAGCCGATGGAAGAATTCAAATGGGATGACACACATCAGAGGGCATTTGAACAGATTAAGAAATATCTGTCGAATCCTCATGTAATGATGCCGCCGAGGAAGAAATGGCCGATGAAATTATATTTATCAACTGTCGAAGAGTCCATTGGAGGTATGCTGGCCTGAGAGAACGAAGTAGGGAGTAAACAAGCAATATATTATCTCAGCCAAGTTTTAACTCCAGTAGAATGTAGATATACGTCGATTGAGAAATTATGTTTGACCTTGTATTTTACAGCAATGAAATTAAGAGTATATATGTTACCTATGTTGGTTTATATTGTTTGTCAAACAGATTTTATAAAGTATATACTATTAAGGCCACTAATCACAGGTCGGATCGGCAAATGGGCCCTAGCTCTAATGGAGTTTAATTTTGCTTATGTACCACAAAAAGCGATTAAGGGAAGAGTATTGGCAGATTTTCTTGCCGATCACCCCTCACCTAAAATTGAATCACAAGTGTTTGATAAGCTTGACTTGACAGCCATATTCATGACCCCTTGGACTTTAATGTTTGATGGGTTAAGTACCAGCGAAGGTTCAGGAGATAGTATAGTAATAATATCTCCCTCGGGGAATCAAATTTCATTTTCCTTCTTTTTGGATTTCAGGTGCTCAAATAATCAAGCCGAGTATGAAGTATTGATTATCGGCTTGGAGATTCTACTGGAGATTAGTGTAAAGATGTCCACATTGTGGGGGATTCAAGTTTGGTGATTAATCAAATCTCAGAAGACTTTAGATGCTTGAATTGGAAATTAAGGCCATTTTATTCATTGGCAACCCAATTGGTCCACCAATTTCACATTGTGACTTTGGAATACAGACCAAGGGTTATGAATAAAATAGCTAATGATTTAGCACAGACTGCTTTAGAAATCAAGGTGCCGAGTGGTATGAAGGAAAGGATAATGAAAATCACACGCCGATCTCTTCCTTCAGCTGAAACAAGAAATCAAATTATAGAAGAAGTTTTTGCCACTGATGTTGCCGAGTTAGACGATGATGATTGACGAATTCCTTATATTTTGTTCTTACAACATCCAACTTCAGGAGCCGATCAAAAAATAAAAAGAAATGCATTCGACTATGTACTAATGGATGGAGATCTTTATAGGAGATCGGCTGATGATGGTTTGCTATTTCAATGTATCAGCAAGTTTGAAGGCTTAAAGATTACGGCAGAGGTACACGAAGGAATATGTGGAGCTCATCAAGCTGGCATCAAGACGAGATGGTTGATACGCCGATATGGATATTATTGGCCTGAAATGAGAAAAGATTGTATGACCTATGCGAAAGGTTGTACAGAGTATCAAAAGCATAGCCCAATGTAGTGGGTTCTTGCAATAGAGATGCAATTATTAGTTAAACCATGGCCTTTCAGAGGTTGGGTCATGGACCTAATCGGCAAGATTAATCCTCCTTCATCAAAGGGTTATCATTGGATTATTTTAGCTACTGATTACTTTACTAAATGGGTGGAAGCCGAGGAATATGTCTAAGTAACTCATAATACTGTGATACAGTTTTTGGAGCGACATATTTTTCACCGATTTGGTTTACCAGAAACAATTGTTACCGATAACGGTTCTGTGTTTCGAGCAAGAGAGGTATTATAACTCGGCCGCAATCTGCAAGTGAAAATGGTGACTTCAACACCCTACTATGCTCAAGGCAATGGTCAAGCAGAAACTTCAAATAAAGTTGTAATTGAAATTATTGAGAAGATGATAAAGGATAAGCCAAGACGTTGGCATGAAACCCTTTTAGAAGCCTTATGGGCTTATAGAAATTCAAAGCAAACAGGTACTGGACCTACTCCACATCGGCTAACATTTGGCCATGATGTTGTGTTGCCGATGGAGTTAAACATCAAATCGGTAAGGGTAGTTTTGCAACACAATCTAATACCTGCCGATTACAATAAAGCTATGCTTGCCGAGTTGGAAGATTTAGATGAGGTTCAGAAACTTGCTTTAGACCACCTTATGGTTCATTAGGCAAAAATAATGAAGGCGAAGGCTTACAACAAAAGAGTGAAGTTCAAATCAGTTGCAGAGAGTGATATGGTATGGCAAACAGTTCTTCCACCTGGAAAGGTAGATAGGACTTATGGCAAATGGTCACCTACGTGGAAAGGACCATTTGTGGTTCACCAAATGTTGCATGGAGGAGCTTATAAGTTGAGAGATTTAGATGGTGAAATTCATGAGAGGCCAATATATAGAAGGTACCATAAAAAATATAAACCAACTATTTTTGAACTTATGGAGGAAAAGAAAATCTCCAATACGTCAAAATAGTGTGGATTATATTTGTTTTTTATGCAAGTTATGTAAAGATAGGATAGGTCAGTTTATGCAATGAATAAAATGTCAACAGATTTTAAAGATCAAAATATCATTGTAGCAAGATTGTTCAAAAACCATATTACATCCCCAAAATGCCAGATTGTTCATAAAACCATAAATATTCAAGATTGCTCAAAGTTTTATTGAAAATCTTCAAATTTGGCCTTAGTTTGCCTCAGTTTTGGTGAGCATGATTTCTGCTTGTTGTTTGGACTGTTTCAACCTCGGCATTTGAGCCTGTAATACTTTAAACTTGGGGGCAGCAACTTTTTCTTGTTTCTTCAATTCTACCACCTTGTTGTTGAGTTGGGATTTGTCTTGTTACTGAGCTTTATGTTCACCCCATTACTTAAACATTTTTTTTCAAGATACGGAAAAGAAGTGGCGGACGATGTTCCCCCATAAGCTTAGTATGGATTAGAAGACCGTTTTGTTAGTTTTTGCAACCAATTCAGTTTTATGTTGTAATGATATAATTATGTTCTATATAATTATGTGATTGGAAACCTTGTAATTATAATGACGAGCATGGAGTAACTCTTGTAAAATGTCTCAGTATATGTTAGGATTCTAAATCATGTTTTGGGACTATAATTATGATGCATTTGAACTAGATGGTATGTGGTTGATGTACCAAGTAATGAACTGTGTTGGGGTATAATGAATGGATGAATGAAATGTTGGAATGTGGCCGGTATATTGCTGTGTTTTGGGACAGGGTAAATAAATTTTAAGATCCAAGTGAGACCATTGTATTCTTATATTTTTGCAGCAGGTCATAGTAGGACTTTTTCAGCAGAGGTCATGCTGAAATTTTGGGTCGTTACATAAGTTTTTTTTTTCCTTCTTTTTCCCATAAAGTAACGGAAAACAGTATGGAAGAAAAGCCAAGCCAATTTGATTTAGTTTATATTCATTAAAAACATGTCTAATTTTATCATTTTCTGTTAATAATATATAATGGTAATAGAAAAAGAAGCAAGTTTCCTAAAATATATATATAAAAAAAAAGCTTATTGGATTCTAAGATCAGACTAAATCCTGCTCACTAAGTAGCAGTCAGAACACCATTGCCCACAATAGTTGTCTACTAAATAAACAACATTCTATAATTTTCAGATTACCTTTTTTATGAAATTACACTATAATATTATTATATTGACTTTTGAGTCATGACTTGACTATTATCTTAGTCCGAGTTTGAGCTTTCTTTGAGTTTTCGGGAAAAAAAAAATTCAGATATATAGCACAAATGGTACCAGGTAAACACAATATAAAATATAAAAAAACACGTTTTAATGATTTGAGATATGGTAAAGAACCATTGTAGACCTAATTGTCTTGGTTTGATTTTATATTTGAAAATTAAAAAGCCCAAACCCCTTCTCTTTATATATAACTCGTGTGTGTGTGTGTGTCTATATAATTCATTTTACTTTTTCCAATTTTTTTTCCTCCTACAATTACAATTAAGGGTAAAAATATAGATGCAAAGAATTCAAATAAAACACAAAACATTTTATTTATCATAGATGTGTTCAGGTGAATGAAGAACTTGAACAACAACGACATAATGAAGAACATGAAAGCAAAAAAATTAAAAATGAAAAGAACTTATTGAAGTATCAATCATGGTCATGCCAAATGATCCAGTTATTCCACCAAACTATAACATGTAAAGGCTGTGTATACGTTCTTTTCTGTGTCATCATCTATATATATATAGATGTATATATTTATGAGCGACGAGGCAAAGGTACCGCGAAGAACTTCATCAACCCCTCCTTGCAGTTCTTGCCATCCTCTTCTCCACAAGCGAAATAAAGCGGCCTCCAATTATTAGTGAGCACAAAGCCAAAGCCATCACCACTTCCTTGTGTTACATTTGCCAACAACTGTGCACTCCTGAAATCGCAGTTTATGAAACTCCCCATGTTTGGCAGCAAGTACACCGTGTGAGGTGGGCTGTTCTCGCTTGGTGGATCATACTTGAATACTGATCATCACAATTACCACAACAATGTCAAACCAAAGGTTATTGCATGTACATATAAGGTCAATATTAACTACTCCATGACACATGCACTTGGGGCGGCAGCAAATGAACCTAGCCCAACTTCAGTTTGTTCGGATTTGGGCTCGGCTTGTTTAACAATAATAATAATATGAGAAATAAAAAATAGAAAAAAAACCTTGATATCATATTCGTGAACTTATACAAGTTTATATTTATGAATGTATTCATGAACATATGCAATCTTACACGAGCTGAGCCTAGACGAGACTAGCTACTCGTTTAAGTACTTTTTGAAATGTTCATGAACAAATAGGTTCATTTGCATCCGGTTGCACATGGAACCTAATGTTAACTAGTCTTGATGACTAATGTATATGTGTGCGCATGCATATACTGACCTAGTTTATCATTTTGGTAAAAGGTCGGTGTAGTTAAAGCCATAGCGCCAGTGCTCTGACCCTCCCACGACAACAGTGGCCGCCTGGCTAGCTGCCAACATGGAGGCTGCAGCGGCTAGAAGGACAAGGAATTTTGCATTGCTGAAAGCCATTTTAGTTGTCAAATTGGGGAGTGAGGAATTAAAGCAGAGTGCAATGAGATGGTGGCAATGAGCATTGGCTTGTGGAGTTTATATAGGGAGAGTTTTGGTGCAATAAGGTCTAATTATTCAAACACCACCTTTTTCTCACTTTGGTTGGCCAAAAAAAAAAAAATGTGGATGGATTTTGTTGAAAATGATCATATTGTTCTACTCTAAACTTTGCTGCTTAAGACCTCAACATAGTTTAACTCGGTTTAGAAAGTGTTCATACAATCTCAGAATGTCATTAAGGCCCTTCTTGAGCTAGCAATACTACAAGACGGAAGGAAGGGTATAATGGGAATTATATGGGCTGACAGAGTAAATTTAGTCATCCCTTGTTTGGTAACTCTCCATTAAGAACAAGAATAACGTGGTAAGGCTATAATTATTACTTAGCAATTAAAGTCGGTCAAAACAACTGAGAAATGGGTTGGTAAACAGTTCTAGATGGTTTAACGGTCCACCATGGGCACATCCCTTTCTCACTTGCAATTTTAGTCCATCAGCATTAAAATTCCATACTCACATGCATCACAATGCCGCCAAAAACTTCCTTCTCATTTGAAAACCAGTGAAATTTGACAAGGCCACAATAACAAATACCCGATAAAATACGCACCATTCATTCCCTGGGACATTGAATTAGATAATCAAATAGAATTGTGATTTAAACAATGATGTCCCAATACCTTAGATATATAATTAGCAGACCTGCAACTATACTTACCCGAAAAAACAACTCTAGAATTTTTTTTTAGTGGACCGACATCAAATATGTTTCTATCTTAGCCAACTAAAGAAATTATTACATCCTTACCGTCAAACTAGTACACAAATCTAGTACCGATTATTAAGATAAAGAGTGGACCTTTTATTAAAGCTTTATTGTTCTAGGTGCGCTTATTCTTTTCACTCGATTTTTTTTTTTTATATTTTATATTTTTATTTTTTTCTATCCTAGATGATCAAAAATGGAAGCATAGTGCAATGTGTTGATCTATTAAGCTTTCTAGCGATCCATGAGGTTGAGCGTTAGGTCGATGACTCCCAAACCAGACGGCTTTAGGGCGCTAGGTGTTCAAACACCTTTAAGGACTTACAAGCTCAAATCAGTTAGGCTACAAATCAAAACAACTTCCATCTAATCACTTCCCACTTCTAACCTTTTGGGAGAAGTCCTCACTTTTTTATTACTTTTGCAACCTTTTTTTTTATTTTTTTTTTAATGATTAACCTAGAGTTTTGGCCCTCCACCTTTCGGCGCGAGAAATTCAGTGCTTGATGAGGCTAGAATCCCGGCTACTCAATGAAAAGAGTTTGTTATCCACTTTTATCAAGATGAAAACTTTCAAAGCACTACTCGCCTAATTGGAATATAACCAATTTAATAATCAACAAAGCATGTACCTCACAAATGAATGCTAGTATGCGCGTGTGTTAGTGTAGAATCCTAGAGTGAATCTCAAAACAATCACAAAATCAGGATGATGTGGACCACAAATGCAAACAAGATATCAATCTTTCAAAAAATTTATTCCTAAATGGTATCCACAAGGCATACAAGGAGTATTGGACTCTCAAGTCAATCAATTTTTAAAGTCTAAGCAATATAGTCCTCAAAAGATCAAAATCATTGCTAGTCATGGACCAATCATAGAAATCCCTCAAATACACAAGTCATGCTCAAAATTTTGAATTGAAAGTAAATACTGTAACAACACCCATTACCCCCAAACTTAAATGGCACAGTGTCCTCAATGTGCAAAGAGAATAAAGGAAAGAGTATACCAGTGCAGCTATGGCAAGGAATGGTCAGGGCAGAAGTATCCAAAGTGGGTGGTATAACCCCCCCAAACTTGGGATTAACTGTGGTCCTGAAAAGAGGGCACTGGGAGAAAAGTTGATCAGATAACAAAGGGGATAATAATGGTGCACAGTGGATATGTAAGTGTAAATGGGATAATAAATGAACTAAGGAGAGAGGAAAATGGTGGTCCTGAAAAAATTGGGCAGCACTCTCTCACTGAAGTCATTGGATGCACCTGATAATGGAGTCAGTCACAGACAAATATATCAATAGAAGAATATGACATCCAAAAGATCATGCATAAAATAGGAAAATAAAAACAGAATATGGTACATCACAGTAATAGGGCCGACAGACTGGCCGCAAAAATATCACAACAGTATCAAAAGAGCATTACTGTATCACAGATATAATGGAATAATGAAAAAGAGGAACAGAGATCAGGCAGATGAGGGGCGAGTGGGGCGTGATCCCCTAATATCTCTGGATATGCCCTGTAGCGCAGCTAAGATATCAGAGCGGAGAGTAGTCACGTCCGTACTGAGAGATGACACATCTAACCGAAGAGAGACAACTGCATCCTCCAAGGTCTGGATACGCTCTCCTAAGCCAGGTGTCTGAACTGGAGCCTCAAGTATGACTGGATCATGAAACTGTGGTACATCCTGAGCTTGCTCCGGAGAATGAACTGGCGACCCTGCCAGAGAGTGATGTGGTAACTCCTCTGCTGGAAGCTCTTGCTCTAAGTCTATCTCCATATGTACTGCAACCGTCGATGTTTCTGCTGGATCGTCTGCTACTGCTGCGGCTGCCATCTCTTCCTCCTCAAAATCCACAGCTGCTAGAACAACGTCTTTCACTAGACTCTTGATAAGAGCATTGTAGCTCTTATTCTAGTCCTTCTTGCCATAGTGGCAAGCTCGTATCTCTGGACGCTAATCTGGATGAAAAGGATAGCGTTGATCTCGAAGGATCTGAGTGATAAGATAGCCAATTGGGAGAAAAGTGGCTCGCCTGGGCTTGGCCTTGCTAATGTAAGTCGAATACAATATCATCATGGCACTCCAATAGAATGCCGCATTGATACCCAGTGGCCTGTATAGAATGTATATAAAGCAACCAAAAAATCTTAACGCCTCTGGATCTTATGGCCTGCCATAAATACGTTTCGAAATAGTACTGAATCGTAGAACCAAAGGTCATCGGGCAGATAAGTCCAGGTGGCGAAAGTCTCGCCAGTTACGTAGTGGCCAATTAGTGCCACGGCTATGTCTGCATAAGAAGGCCTCCGCTCCAAGATAGGATAATGAACATCAGGAGGGTAGACATGCAGGCATCAAGAAGATCTAACTAGAATATCAACTGTAATCTGGATGGGGTGGCCATCAATAGTAGTATGCAACTCTGACAGATTACTCGGGGTCGGCCAGAGGTTCTGGTAAAATAATCGAACAAGCCGCTGGTAAACTAGATAGGTGATTGGGGCTAAAATAGCTGAAATGCCCCTCTGGTCAATATTATCGTAAGCTGACTGGGTCAGGAGATACTGAGAGAAAAAGGTGATATCAAATACTGACTCATGCGCCATCTGAAGGCATGCATATCTCCTGTTAGGTTTGTCGCGGACCTAGCCTGGCTGTGCCGATGGTGGTGAAGGAGAAGGTACATGCTCAGTCTCAGCTAAAGAAGATGATGCAGAAGCTAAAGACTGTAGCCTAGAGTCGGCTGAAGGGGACTGAGCTAGATCTGCCTCTTACTGCTCAGCCTCATCAACCTGCTCTGGAGCTGGCTCTGGAATGGGGTCCTGAACATGAGATGGTCCTGCCTACTCCTCTATTCTCTACCTCACTTGGTGTGTATAATGCTTACGGGCAACAGTCTTTACCCTAGCCATGGCTTGCAAAACAGAAAGAAAAACAATTACAGAATAAGTTAGTACCGGTATAAAGAATTGAAGTACAGTATATAGAAACATGTATGTCAAAGAAGATAGACAATTCAGAATAATAATCATGAATCTATGCAAGTGATGACGCAGCCAAATAAATAATGACCAAGTGAAACATGTTAAATAATATAAGTATAGCATGCATCCAATGTGGAAAACACAGGCATTGGGCATAAATAAGATAGTATGGAATACAAAAGATGGTGTGTGAAATGAATAGGCAAATCTGTGAGGTTCGATCGATCAAGAAAAGATGAGATCGATTCAAGTTGGATCGGTCTGGACTTAAGTGAGATTGATTTTTCTCAGATCGATCTGAGAAAAACAGAGATCGATCGAACTCTGCAAAAAATGCAAATAGTCACAAATCTGTGACGTGGATGGCACGGGAGCACCCGAGCAAGCTCGTGGGTCCCACAATTCCTCAACAACACACAAATGGTCACTTGTTTGGGCACGTGCCCGAAATCGAAATCAAAATCAAAATATATACAAAATTATATACACATATATATACATATATAGACACATGCTTAAAGCTTCAGATATGGAAAGAAATCAAGCATGGCATTTCAGATATGAGATGGAAACATCAAAATCATGTAGATTGAAGCTCGAAAATGGAAATGAAACACAAACTTACCAAATCTAGCGAGAAAAGTGGTTCGAGGGAGAGAGAGATGAAATCTGAGGTGAGGGAGAGAGATTCAAGGCTCGGGAAGCTCACCGGAGACATGCCAGAGGTTGGGAAGATGGGGTTTGCAGCGGCGAGAGAGATGAGGATCTGAGATCGATTATACAAATCGATCAAAACGACACTGGGGTTTTCTTTTAAAAACTAGGCCCAACAAGTTCGATCGATCTGGAAAAATCTTAGATCGATCAAGGATAATCGATCTTAAAAGAACGCAGATCGATCTATGCTTTAAAATGGCAAAGTATTTTTGAAATTTTTGGATTTTTGAAAACTGAAAATATTTTATGGATTTTTAGAAAATTTAAAATAAAATGGAATTAAAAAGAAAATATTTTTTTTAGATTTTTGGATAATAAAATTAATAAAAATCTTTTGAAATTTTTGAAAATATTTTTAAACTAAAAATAAAAATAAAAAATAATATAAAAATAAGATAAAATGAAAATATTTTTAGATTTTTGAAAAATTTCCTAAAATTAAAAATATTTTTGAAATTTTTGAGAATAAAATGAAAT